GCTGTGCAGGTTATACAGTAGGAGTATGGTCCACCCGGAGTCCAGAAAGGTCTGACCCAACCCCAAACTCTCCAACACAACCGGCGAGCCCCAGGGGCAGTCAGACAGTGGTGTGACCCAGGCTCGGACCCCCGGTACAGGCTGAGCTCTGTGAGCCACCTGCTTGCGCCAGAACCGATACGAGCTGAGCCGTTCAGGAGCTCAGCAGCCTGTGGTCCTGACCGGCCTTGCGGATCTCTGATCTGATCTCCACAGCAATCACGAGGAATGAAGACACCCAAGAGTAAAACACGTCTGAGGATGTTTACTGGGTATTTAGGGAATGGTGACATTTGGCTTATCCAGCCTGGCGGGGGGCCAGCCCCCTAGCTGTAGGGCAGGGAGACTGGGACCCCCAAGCAGAGAGAGGAGGTTACCAAGCAGGAGTGTCCAAGGAGGAGATGGGGCACAGGTTTACTCCTGTTCGTCAACCCTTCGAGTAGAAAACTGCCTCCTGCTCTGTCTTTAATTCACTAATTCACATAGCTTTCACTTCTGCCCTCAACTTCATTTCATTGCTCACCGTGACGAATGGAATTTCGTCAGCGCCTTCGGGGATCGAATACATGGGTCAGGTCCCGTCACTGTCTTCTCTGTACACGCCTATAAAAGTGCAGTTCAGATTCAGGATTGACCTTATCTAACGTACAGAACGGAGAAAAGGGAGATCTTTGTCATTTGTTGTAAAAAAAAGGTATTAAACTGGGAGCAGGCAGGTGTTCATCAAAACAAAAATATTTTTGAATTTATATTGAATTTTGTTTGGAATTTTATATTTTTAATACGAAGATATGTTTTCCTACATTGCAAAGAGAACTTGTGTATCTAGCTGGAACAGTAATTTAAGTCCTTTCCTTTTAAATAATTTTACGCAATATGCTGACTATATTACTGTGAGTTCCATTCAAAGCAATTATTTTGTTCGCCTTTTTGTAACAACTGTACCATCAGACCCCTTTGTGATTGATCTCTGCTGGCTTGCAAGAAAAAAGCCTTTTGTACTGAGTCTAAAAAGAGAAACGAAGAAATCCTGAAAGAAGAAAGTTTTACATTTCCCCCGTCGTTTATTCGGGCACTGATACTGGCTGACTGCTTAGGTGAGAACTGGCGTGGCACAGCTACTGTGTGTTTTGTGATTAAATCGTACAAGTGCTGTTGTGTTACATGTGTTTGCATGTTTCTTCTTCAAAGGAGAAAAGCTGGGTGAGCCTCTTAATAGTCATTAGTGCTGAACAGATCTGCTTGGAAACGGTTGTAATTTATACTCAGAAATGACAGGGGTTCTACAGTTAATCGATGTGTGTGGGTGGGTTATGGAATCTTAAATCACTGCCTGTTGTCAGAAACCTCGGAGACCACCCAGGTTGCTCAGTCCTTTGAAACGTAAAGGTGTTACGACTTCACCAACCCCAACCTCTGCTCTACAGAAGCGCTTGAGTGTCCTGAGATAACCTCCTATTACTAGGAATACCGACAATCGTCGAAGTCCCCCCCGAGTCCTGTGTTTTTCTCCGCAGGTCTCCCACTCATCGGCTAAAGAATGAATACACGTCCGTCCGGTTTTACCTTTGCCAAAAGCCTTCAGCCTTTCCAATACCGTATTGTTTTGCGGTCGGAACTATAGACCGTTGTAAGAAACGTCTGGAACGGTTCATTCAAATACGAGTAAAAGACTTCCTGACCACTGAAACAGAGGGTCAGAGCTTTTCAGTCCTGGTGCCCGTGATTCCGGAGTCGCCACGTAATTTTAATACCAATAGGTAGCCGCGTCAGTATGCGTAGGCTGCCAGGGAACAAGTAAACGGTTTATTCCCCGCTGAAAAGAGAAGAAAAGAAACACAACGTTTCGGCTTTGGAGCGTTCTTCGGGTGTGCATGTGCCGTTTTTACTTACATGTTTTTTCAAGGTAGAGAGAACGGAAAATAACAGGCATTTCATAGGACGGACAGTAGGGCAAAACGAACACCGCTAGATCTTACGGATGTGTGATTCACCCCGCATATCCTCATGATTGAAGCGCCTACATGCAGACCTCGCCCGTACGTGCCATTGCTTTATAAATGGCATTTTCCACTTTCCAGGTCGTCGCTGTGAATGACATAATTCTTCTCTGTTGACATAACTTGTAAAATAACTGTCGCAGAATAGAAGACAAAAACAAATCTGAAGGCAAGCTATGAAAATGAACCCAAACTTTAATCACTTTTTATGGGCCCTGTTTTTTTTTTTATTCCAGTCTGGTTTTGCTTCACTTTCTTCATCCAGTTTCCGTTTATAATGGAATTCAATTGACTTTTTTTTTTCAGGAGAATCAGGTTGAACGGTTAACGACGCGACCGCACGCCATAATAACACAATACTTAAGTTGTTGTTGTTTTTTGCTCTGGTCAGTACAACATTGAATTTTCCATTATTTTAAGCAGAATGGTTTTCCCGTTTGTGATTAAACATCGCATCGATCCTGAGTCAGAGTCACACGACTGTGACTCAGAAAACTAAGGAAGCGAGATAAAGTGACTGGACAACAGAGAATAACAGTCCTGTTAGAGATTCTTTAGAAACGATAAAACAACGGCCATCTCTACACATTCCTGACGCTGCTTCTAAAAATATACATGTACTCATCCAGCCCGTGAATGGCCTACTCGCACAAGGAAATTAACTACAGCGTCCGCAGAAATTCAACCACATCACGGCGGTGGTCTCTAGTAGGAAAAGCCCACAGAAGTCAATAGTTTTTTTTCCACCAGAGGTCTAAGCCGTAGACCTCCCAGTCCTTTAAAAACCGTAGTCATGTTCGTGTCTAAAAGCAGACAGAAAACACGCTGGGGTGAAAGCGAGGTGTGGAGCGGACTGAAGTTAAAGGTTTTGAATGAATTTCATTAGATCAGTCGTCGCAGTTTCCCCGTCTCCGCTTCTACTGTAGTTCTCTTCACTTGCGCGTCACTGCTGTGAAACAACCCGACACACGTTGTGATCTAGTAAGCAGGCGCACAGCCGGTCACCGCGCATGCCAGGTTCCATGGTGTAATGGTTAGCACTCTGGACTCTGAATCCAGCGATCCGAGTTCAAATCTCGGTGGAACCTGCCTGTTTTGCTAACCTTTTTCCAAGGTAGAAAGAAAGGAAAATAATAGACATTTTAAAGGACCTCTCGCAAAACGAACACCGCTCACATCTTACGGGTGTTAACTTGACTGACTCCCCCCGCCCGCAAATCCTCAATGACTGACAAATTCGTCTCCGTTGACGTAACTTGTAAAACAACCGTCGCACAACAGAAGATAAAAAAAAACCTTTACAAACAAGCTGTGAAAATGAACCCGAAGTTTAAGCGTTTAGTCATCATTCCCAATAGAAGATCGTAGGGGGCAGCATCGCGGATTACATGCTGAGCAATATTTAATTCTTCAGTCTTCAGAAGAAAAGAAGTAGAAACCGACCCCTAAGGGAGGGGCTCTCATAGAAAATGTACACAATCGGACTCAAAAGAAGGGTGCGAATTATATATTGAGCTCAGGGGGGGACGCATCACGCGTGAAAGAGATTTATAAAAAAACCCACATTACTAAGGCTCCCTCTCGGACAACTGTAAATCGATTCCGCGTCTGTGCCATCCGTCAGCTCTCTGATGTCCAAAAATACATTGTCCACTTCCCCTTTCCCACTCACAGCGCATCTCATGCATAGGATGAGATGAGCACGCCCGTGCGCTGTGCTTTCATCAATAGTGAGGCTAATTCGTGACTTGAGTTATTTTATACTCGATCAAGCTTGATCCGCATGTGCTTTGCGATATGACCTATACATTACAGCACAGGAATGGTCCGACTTATGTACAGTACCTACTTTGGCACCAATAAGCTCCTGTAACGTTATTAAAGGAGTGAACTTTGTATAAGCTAGTCTTTCCTTGGCCACCATTTAGGCAGATCTGAATGAAACTTGCGGTTTCTTGAATTAATTTTGCATTCATTTTAAGTACCTTGTTTGGAATTTTTCTCTCCCCGCCAGAATGTTTATCTCCCCGTCTGTGTGTCTGTGTGTCTGTGTCTCATGGAGAGCGAGCTAGGATATGCGAAAAGACAAATTCCTAATGCAAGAAACTGTATATGGCTAATAAAGTGATCTTATTTATTTTTGCTTCGTCTCTTCAATATCAGCTGCCCTTTTATGTGATAAGCACTCACCGTGTTTATATATTTATTTCCGCAGCTGGTTCTGCAAAAGGCTACATACATCTCCATTAATCCGCTCCTCAGATAAATGTATGCCAAGTGCTTTTTCCGACAGCAGAAGACTCTTTGCATCTCAAGTTTCCATTCTTAGCGAAAAAGCACGGGTTACATTTTTTTCCCACTCTGTCCACTGCTGGTTGCTCCAGTTAGCCCCGACTGGGGTCACAGAGGGCTCAGCCTCTTCCTCTGGGGAGCCAGCGCGTTTTTATTAACTCCTTAATATGGCAACTTTTTTAACACACACTCTAAATATTCACCAGATGTGCGCCCGCACTTGGAACAGCTGGACTTGCATCACGCCCCCCCCTCCCCCTCACGCACCGCGCGTACACAGCCCACGAGCCCTCGTGGCTCAGCCGGGGCTTGCAGGGGGCTCGGCCGCTGATTGGAGGAGAAGGAGGGGACATCCTGACGTCAGTGCGGGGGGGCTGTCTCGGCAAGAGCTCGCAGAAGACGGCGAACACAAATGCACCTCACACCTTCCTCGCACACAACCCTTTATTGGCCTCAAAACATTAAAAGAAAAAATTTGACTATCGGAAATGGATTTTCTTTATCACCAGCTTATGTACAGATGTGTCAGTTTTCTTCCGAAAAGCTCACAAAAGTCTCAATCACATTCCACTGACAGTGGGCTTCCTCCGACTGGGAGGAAACAGGACATTCATAGACGGGATCAGGACCAGCTCGTGGGCTTTTACTTCCTCAGCAATCCGGTCGCCTAGCACAGGGTCCACAACATAATTCATTACATAAATCATAAAACATACATCTACAAATGCCGATTTGTTAACTTATTTCAATGGTTTGAATGAACATCTTCAATAAATTAAAAGAGATGTTTAAATTCTGTGATTGGTGACGCTCAGAATGTTTCTAAACTGCAAGCTCTAACTGTAACCACACAATTTTATAATTATTCTACTGTTTTTATATGTGTGGTCTGAATTTCCTTCCAACAATGCACGGGAGAAAAGATCTGCCCCCATGGCATATTCAAACACAAACCCATCCTTCACTAAAATCAAGCTTTGACTTGTAGCGCCAGCTCTTGCAGACCTCTTGTCCTGATCCGGGATATCAGCCCTGCTGACAGTGACATAGATCACCGCCCACATCAACCGTCCGGTGAGGCACTAAGGTGTCCTGTTAAATGTCAATAATGACAAAAATCTCTGGCTTATTCTCCTCGTGAATCTGCATCGCTGAGTAGGTGATTGCTTTCACTTCCGTCCCCTTTTGAGGAAAGAAAAAGAGGAAAATGTTTTTTTTCTCACAACTGGAAACCTACTCATAAACAAATCAGGAAGACAATTCCAATAGTCCTCCATCATATATTTTCATAGTAATTAAACAAAACAATAGAGTTTCTCACAGTCCTGGCCACACAAAAACACATTTAATTGCTGCCTGGATTCCTGACACAGACTGTAGCCTCTCTGGAACATCAGAACAGAATGGAGCCTAAAAAACAGACTGACGTCTTTATTGTTACTGCTTCAAAACAATTCAGGTACTGTCTGAGCTCTTAGGTAACAAAAAACAAGGGAGTACCCTCGGTTACGTATCTGTGCTCTATCTTTATTGCCTCACTTGTGTCTGTGGTCAGAAGGTTATGATATCCCTTAATCCACAATTAGCAACCACTGTGTAAGCCTCGTCTCTGTTGTAGTGCATCACTATTTCTGGGTGAGGAATCAAAACAAGACCCCCTGGAACTGCACTGTGCTACAGAAACCTTTTCAAAAAGAGGAAGTCTGCTTCTACAATGTCAGAGGGACAACGGAAGAAGAGATGCATAAGCGCCTATAGAAATTCACTCGCAGGAGAAGTCCTATCAGCCACATATTCCTGTTTGGCTGCCAGATGAGACAAGGATCTTATCCAGCCATTTCTTGACAGAAGCCAAAGTAACAGCTTCAAGAGCATAGCTTGTTCCAGACTCCCACAACCCTGTTCTCAGTTTTGAATGTTGTTTCCCATTTTCTCTTGTGTCTTCTGGGTCATGAGTTAAGGTGGAAATGAAGCCCACTGGGTTGATTATGTCAGCACCTTTCAGGATCTTGAATGTTTCAATCAAGCCGTGTAACTTTTGACAAGTGTCATTTATGTTTGTGCTATCTGCATGTAGCACTCTGCACTTGTCTACATCAAATGCCATGTGCCAGGTGTTTGCTTATTCTTGAATTACCTCTAAATCTTTTAGAATTAAATGTGCAGTACTTCCTGTGTTTGCCAGATCTCCTATTTTGACATCATAAGTAAACATGACTAATTTGCTAAAGGTAGCAGAATCTAGATCATTGATCTTAATTAGGATAATCATCCTAAGATCCCTATACATCTACATTATTGCACAGCTCCAACTGTTCCTGTATTTTGTTCAGGAAACTTTTAACAAGTTAAGCAATACCTCCTTTTCAAACTCTGATTATTCTGATTGTTCTGATTATTCCTTAGAGTCCTATTACGATAAATATGATCTTCTAGCTCATTTCTAATTATTGTTTCCACAACCTTGTGTGAAAGAGAAGTGAGATGAACCGGTCTATAATTACTTTGTTTCATCATCACATTAATTGATGGGTGCTACATAATTCCCACTCAGGTATTTCCCTAACTCAGAGTTTCATCTATAGTCTAAGATTAATATATCTTTCTTTCAAAAAAGTTGGCAGCACATTATAAGTCCTGTTTACATATGTACTAGTAATGACAAGCTCATAACTAGCTCAGTTTCTCGCTTAAAGTGAGGTATATAGTAATAAAGCACATGCAAACCACCTCCACAGTGTCTAGACATAACTCACATCTGTATAAGCAGACACTGCAGTCTTTGATTAATTTGGATGAAATCACTGTTATGCCTACAGATAAAAGTGAATGGTTCCCTTCAGCTTTCATGTTCATTCAACACTGAATCCATTTTCAAGAGGGAGTACCTACCTGGGGGTGTTTGGAGATCCTGAACTCTTCTCCCCAGCTAAAAGATAAAAAGAGAAAGAAACAAAAAACTCAACCTGGAATATCAAATGGCGCATATAAACAC